GCAGTTCTGCCAGCAACCAGCAGATGGCGAGAGCGGGCAGTGAATTCTGTGCTCCCCTAAGTCCCTCAACTGCTCCTCAGCAGCTGATTGGATACTAGGGCCAGCCACCTCAGGGTTTAGGATCTGGACCAGGTTCTTCCCTGCACACCGAGAGGCGGCCTGCCTGCTCCAGCCCAACCCCAGCTGCCCAGGTCTGCTCTCTCCCCCGCCAGACACCCCTCTCTCTGGGGCCCACAGGACTGGGCCGTTGGAATGCATCTCAACGTGGTCTCCATATTCTTCAAAGACCTGAGAGCTGTGCTTGCTGGATGGGAAATGTGTTTCTCAAGCTTCCCTGCCCTCTGCCGCAGTCCCCTCCTGGATGCTGCCCTCTACATGCTCCTGGCATCGTGGAGAGCAACATCCAGGACTGGGTCAACCCCCGATTCTAGTTGTACTGACAGGTTACTCCGAGTTCCAGTGTCCTTTTGTGAAGTGAGACCTCCTGTGCTGGGCCCTGGAAGGGTGGAGAGCTCTGTGTAGGGCCACTCAGGCCTGGGAGGAGCCACCAAACCAGCCTTCCAAGACGTCCACAGTCCTTTATAGAATCTTACCCTTCTGAGCCCCAGGTCGGCCCCTTCAGGGGGTTGGAATGTTTGGGGAGAAGGTTGTCATTCCTGTTTTGTCAATTGACAAACTAAGGCTGAGGATGGTTGTGTGATTTGCGTAACCAGGGGGTGGCAGGCTGTAGTGAGTGACCAGGCGTGCGGACACCAGGGCCGTGGCTTCCCTGCCGAGCCTCGTTGCCTGCACTGTCACCCAGCTGGGAGAGGGCGCCTGCTCCTCGCACCTGACTCCATCTCCCAGGGCTGCATCCTGCTCCTACAGATGGCTGCAGAAGACCCAGAAGAGATGCAGAGGGTGCCACAGGCCAGGAGCTGCCCTCCTAGGCACCTGCCACATGTGCCTGGGCTGTGGGGTCGGGGTGACTGTCCCTTGATATGGCTACAAACTGACCCTTCCAGTACCTGAAGGCCATAGCTTTCCCCCACCCTTCTTAGTTCCTTTTCTTGCTTCTCCCTGTAGGACAGAATTTGTCAAGAGAGCAAAGGAACCCCATTCCACAGTCTTTGCAGCACCTCTCATCTCATTGTGGCTACCTGTATTTATTTTGGTCGGGGGATGGGAGTGAATGTGAATGGACCCCAGCAGGAACACGCTCTGGCCACTACCTCCCACCTTCCCTGGGCTGGAATGCATGTGTGGTCATTACCAGATTACCATCTTGGACATGCAAATGAAGTCAATTTTTTTTTTTTTGGTACTGAGGTTTGAACTCAGGGGCACTCAACCACTGAGCCAATCCCCGACCTATTTTGTGCTTTATTTAGAGACAGGGTCTCACTGAGTGGCTTAGTGCCTCACCATTGCTGAGGCTGGCTTTGACTCTCAATCCTCTGGTCTTATCTGGGATGCTGGGATGATAGGTGTGAGCCACCGTGCCTGGCTGAAGTCAATTCTTTAGAGCTGGCAGAGCAGGAAGACCGAAGGAGCCGGGGACCCTGAGGTTATGGAGTCTGTACCTCCCCAGACTTGAGCTAGAAGCTGTGCTGTGCAATCCTGTGGCATGCAGCCACATGTATTTTTTAACTAATGTAGGTCCTGTGAGCAAGGCGCTGGGGACAGAACAGCAGTGCCATCTCTGCCTTGGAGTGGATCACAGTTTGTAGACACAGGTATTCTGCTGCCCCTGGGCTTGTTCTGTGCTCCAGGAGCAGGTGACTGCATCAGGCTGCAGGATCCCTCCCAGACTCCCTCCCAGGGCGCAGGAGGGTAGGATCTGCTTTGTCCCCACAGTGGGATCCAGATTCCCGCTGCCTCCTTCCAAGCAGCAAGGTCTGAGCAGCAAGGCTAGACGGCCTGGGCTTCCTGACTTCAGCTAGAGCACCCGGTCAGCAGGGCCAGCAGCCGGGTGACCGTGCTTCTCCGGTCCTGTTCTCCCCTTCATGGCTCCAATCTTTGTCCTCCGATTCCTCCCAGACCCACCAGCGAGATCAGGGACCAGACCAGCATCCTCATTCCTGAGGTTTCAGGAGAGCAAACAGGTTCTTCATTCTGCCATTTTCCTCCTTTGTTTTGTGAAATCTCCCAAGGTCTCCATCTTCCCTGTCTAGACGAGTGATTTGCACAATTTCACCTCGATGTGCTGATTTAATTCTTTCCCTAAGCTGACTTCTCTGTGCTGCTGTCCACACGGGAGGTTCCTTCTCTAGTCAAGACGCCCCGCTCCAGAGCATTCATGGTATTCACAGTTCAAAAGAAGCAGAAATTATTATTATTTTTTTTTTACAAAAGCAATCAAGTCAAAATCAAATGCCCATGAAAAATAAGACCAAAATCTATTTCCGTGGGAAGACGTCGGCAGGTCTAATGAAATAAAAAAGACTCATGGTGTTGGCACCTGAATGAACTGCACACCTCTTGCGTCCCCTGAGCTCACTGAGTGGCATTCCCCACCTCATTCCCCACGCTCCCTCCCACATCTGTGGCACCAAGTGTCCAGGGTTCCAGTAGACACCCCTTTAGGAGTCAGCTTGATGGTCCATGTCATGGCTTACCTGTCAATCACAACAGGTGGCCTATCTCATGTTGCACTATAAGTTCAATCTAACGGTCGCTCTGTTGTTGGGGGGTCTCCAAGACCTCCCTCAGCCTCTCTAGAAGGACTCCTAGAACTCAGAACAGTGGTTATACTGGTGGTAGTTGGTGCGGCAGAAGGGGATCACTGGCCACCCGTCCCTGGAAGAGGACTGTGCCTCACTGTTGACTTCAGCCTTAGCTGTGTGACTTGCTTTGGATGATGAAATGTGAGCCAAGTGGCACATGCCTGCTCTGAGCACAAGCTCTGAGATCCTGTGTGGCTCCTTCTCTCTGTGTGTGGGGCAGCCCCTCCAGCCTGGTTCCCCGAGCAAAGCTGACTTGCTGCTCACATGAGAAACAAATTCTGTGGTTTCAACAGTCAGAGATTTGGGAGTTTTGCTCCCAAAAGATGAACTAGGAAAGGCTGATTGACATGAGCCGGCACATGTCTCTGGGACGTTTGCAGCCTTGAGTGCTCGCATTCACACTCATGCCTCCTTGCACGAGAGGTGTGCAGACAGCCACCTTGCCCCAGTGGAGCTCCTCCAGGGACACTGAGGACCAGGCCACTTCTCAGACAGCCAGAGCCTGGTACAGTGTGGGTGCTGGCCCTTGAAGAGCTGGGGGTGTAGGACAGGGGTGGAGGTGGGCTGCCTGTCACTCACCCAATAGTTATGCAAGAAGGGCAGGAAGCCCAAGCCACCCGGCCAGGTGTAGATGGAACCTCCACACAGGCTCAGGAGGGGACGTGTGCATCAACTCCTGCCTCGGCCTCACACACCGCACACCACACGCCCGGCACACTGCATACCACTCCACACACACACCAAATACATCATACACAATCACACTCACACATACCCCACACCACACACACACACCACACACACACCAAATATACCACACACACACACTCACACAGACACATACACACACACTCACACTCACATACATACAGAGACACATACACACACACACACACCACACATCCACACTCACACACACCACACATCCACACTCACACACACACTCACACACACACCACACACACACAGTCACACACACAGTCACACACACTCACACACCACACACACACACACACTCACACACGTACGCCCACCACACACCAGACCACACATGAAATCCCAGAAAATCTCGCAGCTGAAAGTGAACAAGCAAGGAACACACATACTAAACTGAAGCTGTTTGAAAACAGAATCCTGGAACTTAGAATTTCCTGGTCACACAAGTCTGAGTTCTGGGGTGAGGCTTTCTGGGGCTGTGTCTGCATTTACGAACCCCCACAGCTATTCTGTGCTCACAGGGAACCTCAGAGTGACCCTTGAGGCCTGGGATGTTCATGTCACTGAGAACCCCAGGTTCACGGTGACTCTGGGGACGGTTGGTGTCACTGTGCTCTGCATGTGTGGAGACTGGTCAGCAGCTCTGTGTTCCCAGGAGCTGTCCACCTGGGGCCAGAGCCGAGGCTGGCTTCGTGCTGCGCTCCCTGGGCAGCCACACGGGGCCCTGCCCAGAAAGGCCTCAGGCCAGGTGGCGCACTCTGCTGTTGCCACCTTGAGACTCTTGATTGTGGAGCCGAGGCCCTGCGTCCTCGTTTTGTACGGGGCCCTCCAACTACTGGCCGCACCCCAGAAGGCCAAGGCTGACCTGCTCTTGGACCGCTCTCCACGGCCGCAGGACATGAGCCGCTCGCGAAGGGCGGGAGCTGCCGGGGAGCCAGCAGTGGGCCCAGTCTTGCTGCTGTCCTGGGTGCACTGTGCTCTGGAGAGGGTGGGCTTGGCTGCTATGGGTGAGTGACAGGGACATTATCTTCACAGGGGACGGAGAAGATAATGCTTCCCCAGCTCGGGCCAGCTCTGAGCCCAGACCCAGGAGAGGCCAGGGAAGGACACAGGTGCCCAGGGAAGTCGAAGAGGGGTCCTTGGGGCTCAGCCTCCGTGAGCAGCTGCAGCCTCAGGCTGAGCTAGCTGCTGGGGACCTCAGGCTGGAGCGGTGGCCCGGGGCCATGGCCGTGGGGCGCCTTCAGCTCTGCTGCTTCTCTGTGTCCCAGGGGAGTGGGGAGCAGGCAGGAGGTCTCCCCGGGTTCCAAGTGAGGAAAAGGTGGTGAGGGGCGAGGGGAGAGGGCAGGAGGGAGGAGGGAGCCGGGCGGGCTCGTGAGACCCCCACGCTCATCTGCTCTCCATCAGGATAGGACGAGGACTGAGGTACAGTGCTCCCTGACGGTTAGCCCCAGGTCCACCTGCAACCTCAGCCATCATGGCCACCATCACTAGGATCAGCAAAGTCGTCTTCCTATGTCAGAGGGAGGAGAAGGAGGGAGCGGAGCGGACAGGGGACACGCGCTCACGGCATTACACGGGTTTCCCATTAGCTGATAATTTAATCTCTATCAGGATCCTTATTAAAATGAGAGACCAGGACTCAGAGAGGGGCGAACAGTGTACTCCAGATGAAACTTGTGCAAAAGCAGCCAAGGCTCAACCCCACACACTTCTATTTCTGTGATCATTTCTCTTGATGACACGATGACAATTACTGCAAAGCCTCCTTGTGAGGATCCATCTGCACAACCCGAGGGGCTCAGCTGTCCCCACCATGGGGACCCTGTGTGTCCCAGCAGGTCTGGACTGACCCCAGGTGCCCTACACGATGGGCCCCGGGAAGGTGATCAGTCGTGGTCTGGGAACTTGGATCAATGACCCTGGACGCAGAACGGTCAGCATTTCTTTTCAGGGCCTGTGCAGGGAGCTTGCTGGGGGGTGCAAGAGGCTGGGGGAGTGCATGTGCTCGGGGTCCAGCGGAGAATCAGACAGGAACGAGGCTCCACGGTGGGACCCAGCGTGTCCTCCACGATGTCTTCCCCTCTAGGCCTGAGAAGGTAGCACCAGACTCCAAGAGAGGGACGAAGGACCTGAAGAGCAGGCAGGATGCACCCTGCCCTGGGCCTCCACCCGGCCTGTCAGGAGTGGAGAGAGTGGGGCTCCCAGAGCCTGAGCCCAGGAAAGCTGACCAGACAGAGATGGGGCCAGAATCCCCATCCTGGGAGGTCCAGCTGGGGCAGATGGCCCCCTCGGGCAAGGTGCCTCAATCCCAGTGCTATTGACTCAGGGGGCTACCTGTGGCCTTCCCTGACTTGGGGTGTTGTTCTGTGCACTGCACCTGAACATTCAGCCACATTTCTGCCCTCTATCCACTATATGCCAGAAGCCCCCTCCCAGATTGTGACCACCCAAAATGTCTTCAGTCATTATTAAATGTCCCTTGGGAGCAGAACAACCCAAGTGTCCATCATGGACCATTCTGGGAATCTCACCTTCACTGTGACCTTGGAGAACCTCGTGGTAGAGGATGCAGGATAATACTGGGGTGGGATCCCAACAGTGACGAAGGAGGCTGAACTCATTGCTTTAGAGGATACATCCGCCAGCCACTTGTGCTCCTTTTCTGGGAAATAAAGTGAGACAAAGTGAGATATTTAAATGAAGAAGCAAAACATGAGGGTTTTCTTTAAATTTAGATTTCAAAATCACACAGTCTTACCACTGATGATGACGAAATATCCTGACAGACAGATGAATGGACAGACGGATGGTACAAGCAGATAGATTATATCCCTAATTTTTTTTTGCATACTTCTTTTTCAAGAGTGGTTTCTCCTTTTGCTCTGTGTCAAGCCCCTTCCTGTCAAGAGCAGACCAGATGGGGCTGGTGTGGTGGCTCAGTGACAGAGCGCTTGCCTAGCATGTGTGAGGCTCTGGGTTCCATTCTCAGATTCTCATCACACATATAAATAAACAAATAAATAAAGGTCCATTGACAATGAAAAAATATTTTTTAAAAAAGAGTAGATCAGTTGTCGGTAGTTGACAAATCCCCTGGGTGGTGAGCGTCAGTGCACATGCCCAAGCAGGAAGCAGAGAGCTTATGGGGCTGGGTCCCAATAACTTAAAACTGGGGCTTCCAGAGTAGGTGGAGGGACCCAAGAGGGGCCTGGAGGAGGGAGGGCAATGTCAAAACCTTGGGAGGACAGAGGACCTGCAGAAGAGGCCCAGAGCATGGCCAGGCGGCTGTGTGTGCTAAGGAGGAGGGAGGGGGAACCTGGGGTGGTCTTCCCATGGATTGGGGAGCACTGAGATGTTGGGATGACGAGAGTCCTGCAGGATGCTGTCCCAGGAGGGCGCTCTAGATGTGCATGTCCTTGAGCAATAGCCAGAGAGAGTCTATCCCTAAATGGTCTCTCTCCCCACGGCCGCCCCTTCTCCTTTCTGACCTCAACCTGTGAGCAGGGCTGCATCCGTGCAGGCTGGGTGGTAAGCCAGAGACCTGCAGTTGGAAGGGCAGCACAGCCAGAAGCTGGAGGCCTCCTTCCTGCCCTGAGAACGGGCTTCCTCTTGTTTATCCGAGCTCCTGTCCCAGTTCCTCTTTCCCATTCCATCCATCCGTAGTCCACCCGTTGTTCCATCCAAACATTTATGCAGGGTGCACCGAGGGGCTTCATTCAGTTCTTGGTGGTTGATGGGGACAGGTGTCTCCTCTCAGGACTGACGCTTCTGGGGGACCCAGAACTTATTGAGGCTGTCAAAGGCTCATCCACCCCTAATATTGTAAGCTGGCTGAGCACCACTGCAGGGCCCGGCCTCCCGACTCCCAGGGTCCCACACCTGGCATCTCCTTCCCTCAGACCCTGAACACAGGCCCTGGATCCTGGCTCCTGCCTTCTGTCCCCTCCAGCCTCAGGGAGACCACCGGGCTTCCAGACCACCTGATGCCGAAGGTGTCTCTGGTTCAGGCTCTTCAGGGTGAAGAGGAAGCTGACTGTGTTTTCTAGGCTGCCTGACCTGGAGGACGAGTGGCCCCCACACTGTGGAGTCACCGTGGGGAAGTCTCTGAGTGTGCAGTGTGAGTGCGAGGAGACGTTCAAGACCTTTACCAAATCCTGGTGCAGACCTCCATGCTTGCCATTTTGGAATCAGGCTGTGAAGGCCAGAGCATCGGCAGCCGAGTGTCCATCACAGACCATTCTGGGAATCTTTCCTTCACTGTGACCTTGGAGAACTGACAGTAGAGGGTGCAGGACGACACTGGTGTGGGATTGCAAGAATGAAAAAGGAGAGTGAGCTCCTGGCTTCCTGCTGACCTCAGCTTCCTGTGTGATCCTGACTCTCTGGTCCTGTTTTCCAGGTTCAAGTGCTGGCTGGCCCCTCCTGGCACCGGAGAGGTTGAAGTCGGAGCTGGACTCTGCAGAGCTACCCAGGAAGTGTCAGCTCAAGAGACAAGAAGTGGGTCTGGAATTTGTGTGTCAGAGATGCAGGGCTGAGTGTGTGTAATGTGGGGGAGGGGTGTGTGTGCATGTGCAAGAGGGTGAGAGGAAAGCATGTGGGAAAACACAAGTGTGTGTGTGTGTGTGTGTGTGTGTGCATGGGAGTGAGTGTGTGAGTGTGAATGTGAAGTGTGTGAGATGACTTGAGTTGAGTTTAAGTGTGAGAGATGTGTGACTGTCAGTGTGCTGAGATGGGAGTGTTTGCATCTGTGTGAGTGTGTTAGAGTGGGTGTATATGTGTGTGTGTGTGTGCGTGTGTGTGTCTGCACACCAGGGGGTAGTGGTGGTGTGTGGATGCCTGGTTGGGGTTAGGGTCTCCTGACCTTCAACACTTCTGTTTCCAGGAGAAGGGCCACGAAGTTGCCTGGTATGAGGAGTCAGGGTTCTCTGGTCTTGGTTGATAAATCTTCCCCTGGTCCCAGAGCTGAGCCTCTCCTGGGGTGGGCCCGACCAGCTGCTTCCCTGAGTGCCCTCTGGTTTATGGAGTGGGACCATCAGGGCTGAGCTCCCAGCTGGAGAGTCAGCACAGGGCCCTGGGCCTCCACTCTTCTCCTCAGCCCCCCCAGCCTTCAGGATGGACAGCTCTGAAAGGACACCCCATCCCCCACCCTGGCAGTGGGCCCCAGAGCAGCCAACACCAAAGGTAAGGTGACTCCACCTGTGTCCCCTGCCTCTGCAGAGCTTCTTTCCAAGGCCGGGGCTTCCCAGACCGGTGCCTTTGGTTGTTCATTCACTTGATAAGTGTTTATTTGCTCTATTCCAGAAACCAATGCAAATTTTAGGGGCGGAACAGTTAAAAAAAAGAAAGAAGGTCTTGATCTTGAGGAAGTTTCATTAAATAGGTGTATTTAGGTAGTGTCCAGATGGATAAAAACAGAGACAGACAGCTTAGATGATAGAGATGGATGGATGGATGGAGAGAGAGAGATAACAGATGGTAGACGACAGAGACAGGCAGAGATGTGTCTTAGAGATAGATATGATAGAGGGTGATTGTGGGAAGCCATTCTTGCACGTGATTGGGCACCTCCCTGACTGGGTGTGAGGCGTTCTGGCTAAACTGTGTCGGACTAATCCCCACCCTCTCTAGGTGTGAGAGCCCATCGTGTAGGGGTGTGACTGACCATTGACCCTGAGACCAATCACTGACCCTGACTTTGGAATGCTGTCCCTCTTGACCTTCATTGGATAGAATTTTCCCCTGAATTTCTTGTTCCCCAATAAAAGGCCATCCGCTGGCGTGCTCTCTCTCTCTCTCTCCTGCTAGCCCTGAGTAAGCCTTGCTGCCCCACAGGGTGGTTTGAGGCAGGAGCCAGAGGGAGGGCCGTCTCAGACCTGGTCAAAGAAAAAGGTAATTGAGTTTTGTGTGTTTATTTTGATCTCACTAGTTAACTTCTATGCTATGAACCTCTAGTATGAAGCCAGTGTGCTGGTCGCGCGGCGGAGGGGATACAGATGGATGGACAAATGGATGGATGGACAGTGACAATAATGAGACAGACATATGTCATATGGGTGGATAGATAGATAGATGTGCTATGATAGATGATAGAGATGGAGGGATAGTGAGGATAAAGGGTAAAAGTAGACACACATCTATGGACAGATCGGTGAATAGAGGGAGCTTGTAAACTAGTGAATTTACCATGGAGACACATAAAGCTGGCAGGTGTCAGGGGGTGGAAGGTAGGGAGACGGGAAGATGATGGGGCATGACGAGGGCCTTCAAGGAAACACAAGAGGATCAAAACCCAAGGGCCGTCTTAGGCTGCGTTGCCTCGAGTCATCCTGAGACAAGGGCTCATGGGGAGTTAGTTGACTAGAGGTCATCTCAGGGAGCAGGACTGTTAGGTGCAGGACAGGCTGGTCTGCAGGTCATGCCAAACAAAATTAGCTACAGGATGACCCGGCTTCTCAAATCCTCTGTCTGATTCTTTATCACCTGTTTGCTTTAAGCCCAAACATCCAAGCCCCCACTGATGGCTGAACACTTAACCCCTCTTGTGCCAACAAGGCAGCTTACAGACCCAGAAACCCCATCTGGGCTATAAAAACTCCCTGTGCCTGTTCCTTCCCTTCATCATAAAGTTCATTCAGACTCAGGTGGGTAAAAAATTTCTAATCAAGCTTTTAACCAGCTTCTCCTCAGGAATTACTAACTCCTGGCTACTGATGATACCTCCAGTCGAGACCTATGCCGAATGGACTGACGTCATCATGGATCTGTGGTGGCAAGGAACCTTTGTTGATCTGGTTCCTGAAGTTACTGGTCTTCTCTGCCCTCCTGTGGGGGCTCCTTACTTCCCTCCTCTCTTTCTCCCTCACCTCCCCATTTCAGCAGGAAGCAGCCAGAATGAGTCGACGCCCACTCTCGTTTAATAACAAAGAGGGGGGGATGTTGGGAGTCGCCCCGGCTCCAAAGACTAACTTCCCCATCCCCCAAGAAGAGCCATTCAATGGTGAGCCCTGCTGGCTCACATGATCCTTACTCACCAATCAGACTAGCCCTGCTGGCTCACATGATCCTTACCCACCAATCAAAAGGCACCCCATGCCAACTGTCAAACCCTTCAACCAATAAACTGTCATAACTGTCAAACCACCCCCAGCTCTATAAACATGCAGAGCTGTTCCTCAATAAACGGGCATTTTCTCCGACGGCAAGCCTTGATCGTTCTTTCAAGGACGAGGACAGAAAAGCCCACGAGACTGTGGAGGAGTCCCCAGCCCTGCGGAGCCTGTGGGCAGAGGCCCTTGGGGGTGTGAACTCCGCAGCCTCCTGCCTGCCCTGCTTGGCAGGTCATGCCCACAGATAGATGTGGGAGCTTGAGGGGGGACGGCGACAGCTGCTGGGAGCTCCAGTGGGCAAAGGGGACACGGGACAGGGCACCAACTGGGTGTGCCCCAGGGGCTATTGGTGAGGATGAGGGACAGCATTGGTCAAGCCCTGTCGTTGGGGGCTACAGAGGTGGAGAGTGCACAAGCGCCCAGCTTGGGAAGTGGACACTGCCCTCGGGCAGCTGGAATGGGCACAGTGTTCCGGGACCCAGAGGTGAGGGCACTGGCCATGAGTTGAGGTTGGAGAGGTCACCCCCTTGGGTTGAGGTTCTTGGATGGTTTAAGAAGAAGAGCGGCTTTCATGGCTGGATTTAAAGAGGAATCGAGACTCTGAGTGAGGACAGATGCTAAGGGAACATTTTGTCCTTGAAGTTGTTACCCAGCAAGAGCTGAGCTCCTTTGAGTGTCCCCAAGTAGGGAACCAAAACACGAACTTAGAAAGCTAGAGACAGGATCCCTGCCAGGAATCCCACATCTCCTCTCCATTCCTCAAACCACACCCTCCTGCATCTTCTAGATCCTGATGCTCAAGGTCGATTCCCGAGTTGAAGGACAGGAGCTTGCGCCCCTTGGCTTGGGCTGCCTGACCCTGGCACCAC